GAGCCTGTGGCAAGGGCATCGGTTAGCAGGTAAGCTGCAGTTTCTGCACCCTTGCTCCTCCCCCTTCCTTGGTACCGCCAGCTGGTACTTGACGCATCTGCCCGCCCCTTCCATTAGGCAAGACAGAGCAGCGCCTTACAGATAAGCCTCCCTMTTCACGGTCGACCTCTGCACTCTTTCCGTCAATCGACCGGCGGGTGGGCAAAGCATCATTCCGCAGGTACGCCTCTGCCCCTTTGTGGCCGACTCCTCACTGCTCCCTCCGTGGGTGCTCTCCCTCTCTCTCTCTCTCTGTGTGTGTGTGTGTATGCACGCGCAAGTTTCAGCCAACAACAGAGCGGCGCAGGGGTCAACAGGTAAGTCTCCAATCCCGCAGATGTCCTCCGCTATTTTTACCGATATAACAAAAAAAAAAAAAATCGAACGTATTTATCCCAAGATTCGGGTTAGATACATTGATACTTTACCACTCTACTCCCTGGTGCAACCTTATTTCCTCGCAGCACACAAACTAACGTCCCTTCCCGGAATCTAGTTCTACCAACTGCTTCGTAGCACCTCATAACCTTAGTCTACTATCTTAGACCGTCAGAAACGGTCACGAATCGGTCGATTTAACTAACCTTTACTCTCCTCCGCCTTCCTTCCCGACTTCATCCACGCACTCCATTTCCTCACTAACTTACATCCTACTAACTCTTTGCCCAAACTAAGTTCATATTCGGGTTCGCCCCCCTCCAAAACTCCAGGAACGATTCCCTCTTCGCCTGTTTCTATTAACGAACGGGCGCACAATCGTCTCCCTTCCCTTTACCATATCCAAGCTTTGACAACTTCGCGCAGTATATCTCTGTACTAACTCCTCCCACACTTTCTTACTCACCTTTCGGAGTCCATCATCATGGTCGCCCCACCCAAGAACCCCTATCTAACATTCTATCTCGCTCGAATCCATCAAGGATCGAGCGAGATTCAAATTTTACACTCTCATCGTTTTCTACCTCCGCCATAGCTTCGCGCGGCCATCCTTTCTTCTACCGCCTATTCTACTAACTTCCTCCTAAAACGAACATCGCCAACGCATTCGCCTTAGGCTAAAACCCCAATTTCGACACTTGGATCGCCCGATTTCGTCAAGGATCGGGCGAAAACTGCGATGTTAACTCCGCCATAGCCTTCCTTCCTTCTGCGCATGCACCTCGCGCGATAGGCCGTCCAGATCCGTCCTTTTTGCTGCACCACCCCTCAGCCTTAGCGCCTGTCCGTCCGCTGCCTGCCTTAGCCCGTAGCTAGGCTGCCTCGCTCTGCCTGTCTGGCACTCCGCTTTCTGTCTCTGTTCTCCCCTTCCTCTCGGCCTGTCTGTGCCTCAATGCAGCCACTTCCCCGGTTACTCCGACCAGCCCGACAGACGAAACGATCGCCACGCTTCGCCACCTCGATACACAGCGCCTGCTGCCTCCAGGGAAAACTGCAGTGGGAACCAGCCACTAGACGGTTCGATTAGTCTTTGCCCCTATACTCAAGTCCGACGTTCAACAACTCCAGCTATCTTGAGGGAAACTTCGGAGGGAACCAGCTACTAAACGGCCCGGTGAGTCTATCACCTCCGTACCCCAGCCCGACGACCAATTACCATGGCAGTATCGTTGTGGCCTCTGCCACAGTGCCCCCCTTTGTCGTAGCACTCTGCTGCGCTGTCTAGCTGCTGCGCTGTATACCCACTGCTGCCTGGCGCCGCCCGGCTTTCTGCCCCGATTCATTCGCCTTTCCCCTACTGCTATCTAAGGCTGCCCGATCGGACCCACCGCCCGCTACTCCTCTGCGTTGTGGCCCCGCCCGCTGCTGCCTATTGCCTGCCTCTGCTCCTATACCCGAGCCCCTACGGGCATGCTCATACTCAAAACTGTCACAGGGGATAGCATGACTAGGCCCGTATGCCCGTAAGTTGGCCCCCGCCAGCGCCGTAGGCCAAGCACACACCCGTTGGCCTAGCACACACCCGTTGGCCTTTCATGTTGACTCCTCGGCCCCTTTCCCCTAGATAGGCGGGGCGAAAGACTTTCGCCAACGCCCCAAACATGTAGGAACCCATCGGGACCGTTAAAAAAAAGGAGGCGCGTGCCCAAGGTTCCCAATTACCGTGGCAGCCATCCGGGGCCGATGTCATTCCCTACTTGCGAAAAATCAAATCATAAAATTAAACACGAATGGCAATAAATAATAATTAGAAGAAACTTGGAAAGATAACCGCTGGCCCCATCCCGACGCAGCCGATGGCAAAGCCAGGAGGAGGGGGCGGGGATGACCCCGCCGATCCCTCGACGTTGCGCACCCAGTTCATTATAAAGAAATTCCCACTGTTGCCGAGGCCGCTCTCCACCCTCATGCGCGTGTCTCGATCAGACGTACTCAAAATTTCCATATTAATTAATCCTAATCTAAATCAAAAATAAATAAATAAATAAAATTTGACTGGCGATTACGCCGGCTCTTTAAATGTCATCAATAAATAAAAATCACGTGCGCCTCAAGTATGCGCGCCCACACACTCTCTACGCTATTGTGGTCAACCACCCAGTCAATGCAATTACAGACGCAACCGCACTTAGCGCGGTATACTTCAACTTTAAACCAAAACTGTTTTCTGTTACTTGCGAAAAAAAAAACAGGGCAGATACCCTTGTAAGGGTATTCGCGCCGACAGCTTACCGGACCATATTAAGCGACGTCCCCGTCGCTTCGCCAAATCAAGAAAACTATAAATTCATCCGCACTCAAAATGCTGATGAAAGAGGAGCCAATCCGATTAGCCGACCAACACAGGGTAAAGGCCTCCATCAAACCATGCCTCCACAACTATATGCTGCCAGTTTTCTAACCCGGGCCTCTTACTGCCCATAAATTAGGACGCTGACAATCATAAGTTCCAAAGACCTTCCCAATCGTTCTCTCCCCGGTCCTAGACAACCTTCGGCTTCTTGTTGGGTGTCCCTAGTCCTAGCAAGACTAGGGACGCGGGCCTTAACCGAGACCTTTGAAGGCACTCTCGCCTTCCTTCTCAAAATCTCTCGCAATCAAATACACATAAGTATATATGTATACATAATATCCACTCGGCTCTTTCTGCAGTCTAGTACAGAAAGACCAGGTCTCCATCTTGGTCCACCATAACCTGGTTGATCGGACCAGGACTACGGCCCACCGCATTGTTATTTAACGGCAGTACCCTCGTTGGTTACGTAACGATAGGGTTTCTCCTGATAAACACTCAATCAGGACCTCCCAAAATCTCAACCTTCACTATCCCACGGAGTGATTTCCCTGGGGCGGGCACCCCCCCTTAAACTCTTACCCCGCGGTCCCGCAGCCAGGTTGCGCCGGCTAGCAGCCATCCAATGGGGTTACGCCCTAGAGGTACTAACTTCTTTTCCATTAGCTTGGCCTTTCTTCAATATGTCTCAGAATTAGCACTAGTGGTTAGACGGGGCGTCGCAAAAYAAAAACACYGGCCCACYGCGCGATCACKCAGGGGTYTGGAGRCATTTACCAGCCCTTCCACAATAGGCATGGCATCCTTCGCACGCTCACAAACAAAATCACCGGTAGGTCCAGCAGGCCGTGACCCTTGACTTGATCAGAGCCAGCAACTACTTACTCTAAGACATCTTTTGCCCTACACTCATTGCGACTTTCTCAATCATTCCAAACAAAAGTGACCCTCTTCGTTAGACTTTATCACTCATCAGACAACTTACCATGCCATAATTCAATTTACTCACCTTTGAAGGTGAGTCTTTCAACAACAAAAACATCCCCTTTTCCAAAAATCCAAGGGGTTCTCATCATGAAACAAAACACCCCCTCTTCCAAAATCACRAGGGRTCTCGCCATAAAACCAAACTTCCCCTTCTYAAAATTTTGAGGGGGTCTCATCATAACACACAACATCACAAAACATCATTTTTTTCAAAATCCAAGGGGGCTTATCATAAACAAAAATCACTGAGAGACCATCTTATGGGTCCTCATCACAACTTAAGCAACCAACAATCCACATGGTAAGCATTTTGAGCCTCCTGGACTCATAAATCTTCAAAATCCTCACAACCTTTCACAACGGACTGCACTTCCTCCCCTTATACTCTGCCTTGTCAGCTGCCCGTGGGCAGGTCGCACAAGTATACCGAGGAGTAGACAGTTTTGCTTATAATCATATTCACTGTACCCATGCCACATAAGATGTTTTTCACACATTGTCCACACAAACTCATCGTTCATCAGAGTACAACCACACATGTGAAAGAGACAAGTGATCATCACATATAAGAATGGTCCCTGAAATAAAACCTCATCATAATATACACTCAGGGAATAAAATGTCTCACACAGAAAGTGTCTCCAAATCATAGCTCACTCACTCAAGCTACACCAAACCCATATTGACAACAACCCCTAGAATTCATGTCAGATCTGTCTCTCAAAAACCAGGGCGTAGGCCACCTGAATATGTACCTGCCTCATCTAGATTACCCTGATCCTCAAGATCCCAGCTCAGTAGGAATACTAGAGTTCAGATCTAGATTAGTAGCAATCAGCAAAAAGGTTTTCTATGTCTTAAGAAGGTGTCACACAGAACCTAAGCTGATGCCTCACAAGACATCCGCCCACTTACATAGACAACCGGACCCTACCTCCTCAACTCCTCTTGGTTTTGCCTATATAAYTGAGCCCTAAGTCCATCTGCAGACTTCTCTACTATCCTACCTTGTCTATCATACATCTTACCCCCTACCTCTGAGACCTTCCCTACTGCCTTATCCTCAAGGAACTCGAGACAGTCCAGAGCCGGATGCACGCCCCTCTTGCAGTAGAAGCATAGCTGATCAACCTTCCTCTTGAACTTCTTCTTCCTGGGCTGAGGGGGTGGCAATGAAGGAGATCCTACCAAGGTACTGACAACCCCCTGCTGCTCTGATCGAGGAGCTGTGGTACTAACGACCTCTTGTTGCTCTGCCCCAGGAACTGGTCCCCCAGACCCAGATTAAGTAGCCCAAGATCCCAGGCTGCTCCTCAAATCCCCTGTCGTTGGGACGTACTCAGGCGTGTCCAACCTCTGAGGCCTCCTCTCGAGTGTCTCTCCTGGCACTGCCATGGGCTGCTCCTCAATCTCCTCTGGTCCATACTCAGGTGTGCCCATCCTCTGGAGCCTGTTCTCGATGGCACTCTCCGCCTCAATCCCTATCTCTCTCTCAAGAGGCTCCTCTATCCTCTGCTCAGGTGAAAACAAACTCACCTCCTCCTGCATAGTATGCACCGCCTCAAGGAGCACGCCCATGGATCCCTCTGCCGAGCCCTGAGCCAGCTCACTGCTAGATGGTGGCAACCCCTCCTCTACTGCCAAAGGTACGACTGGGCCTGTAGCCGCCACTGGCAGCGTCGCGAGCTCAGTAGGGGCTTTAAACTCGAACGTCTCTCTCTCTGCCTGTCTCTGGGCTCTCGCCTCCTCTGGCTCCAGGATAGCTCTCCCCATAGGTGGCTCCTGGCGAGGCTCTGCTGCAGATGACTGTCCTGGCAATCCCTGTCCTGACTGCCTCTGCTCTCCCTGCCTGCTGCTCTCTGGCCTGTCCACCCTTCCCTGGGTTTGCTGCCTCAGGCTCTCGATGATAGCTGCCTGGCTGRCCACCAAGGCCCTGAGTTCCTGAATTTCCACTTCCATAGCCTCCAGGCGTACTCCATGGCTTGCTTCCTTCATCTTCTTCCCTGTCAGATCGCCCTCCAATAACAAGTGCCGGTCAAAAGTGGTATTGGTCAGGAACTTGATTTTACGATCTAACCTCTCTTTCGCCTTCCTGGCCACCCCAAACCCGACTCTGACTGGCGATGGAAGTTCCTTTCCTCTCTGCTTCCAGAAGTCTCTCCACATCTCAGGAATCTCCGGGGCCCTAGCTGGCGCGCTGGGTGGCTGACCTGGGAGTGCTCCTGCTGCTTCCAATCTCTGCCTCTCCTGTTGCTGCTCCGGAAGCTCCCCCGCTGCCTCCAACCTCTGCCTCTCCTGCCATATCTCATCTATCAATCTAGTTCTTCTTGCTCTTTTTTCTTCAACTGTCTTTCCGGCTGGCGCCCTTTCCCTCGTGTGGAGGTCGACCCTCTTCGGGATTTCTGCTTCCATCTCCTTCTCGGGTTGGTACGGCTCCCGGCGCAGCCCTGCAGGTGCCGGCTCCTCCAGGTCTGGATGCTCTAGGGCATAAGCTGCTAGGTGCCTATCAATCAGGGTCAAGGCTTCCCTCCTTACAACTGCCCTTTCTCTCCTCTTGCCGGCTCTCCCCTCTGGCGATGGACCCCTCTCTGATGAAGGAAGTGGAGCCTCCTCTCTCCGCAATCTCTCCTCTACCTGACGAGCGCTCCCTGGAGCATCCCCGAGTCTCAAACCCATTGCTGGCGCCTGTGGGGGTGTGTCCTCCCCAACCTCTACCACTTCCTCCCCTGCACGTCTCCCCATTTCGCCTAGCCTGCTCTCTTGCTGAGTACCCTGCGCCTCCTCTCGTGGCACCTCCTCACGTGGCTCCTCACGTGGCACCTCCTCTCGTGGCACCTCCTCTTGTGGTACCTCCTCTCGTGGCACTCCTTCTGCTTGCTCTTCATGCTTCGCATCCTGAGGCGACGCTCTCCACTGAGAGATATCCAGATGCGTCTCTAACTCTCTCAACGGCCCTTCAGACACTGGCGGTTCCTCCCGTGTGTGTGCTGGTGACCTTCTCAATTCACCCTCAGTAAAACGATGGAACTTCACTGGTCCCAACCCACACTCAGGGTATGCCCCTCGCTCTTCAACCTCTGGCTCCCGCTCCGACTCCTTCTCTCTCTTGGCTAGGGCCTTCCGTCCTCCCCGAGACGGTCTCACCTCCCTGGGCTCAGGGTCCCTCGACCTCTGACGTCTCTCAACTCTGGGGTGGGGGGACTCTGGCCGTCGAAAGGCCTCTCTTAGATGTGCCCTGCAGCTTTCCCAGTCCCGGGCCATGTCTCTGATTTGGCTAGCCAGTGACCTTTCTGCCTTCCTGGTCCAGAGTGGTAGCGTCCTCGCCCACTCATCTCTTGGTATACCCTGCCCCTGCATGAACCACTCGAAAGCAGGGATGAAGTCTGCCACGTTTTCGATCTCTGGACGGATCGGCCTGCCATCTGGTCCCACAGGCGAGGGTCGCAGTTCCTGCATCCTCCACTCCACCTCTGATCTCGTCGTCGCCTCTCTACGGATCCGCGCGACAGGCTCCTCGAATCTGCCGACTCCCCTCAGTCCCTCGATTGCTTGGGCCACGGTCCAACCCATACGCCTCGCATGATCCCAAAAGTTGTCCAGGAATAGCTCGGTGTCCCTATCATCGTATACTGGAGTACTCTCTTGATGGCGAGGCCCATGTCGCTCATATCCTCCTGATGCTCCCAACGGCCTCCGAGGCAGCCGTGTCCCCCTCCCTCCTCTTGGCATGACTGTCTTCGTAAAGTTAGACCTGCACAACAGGCGAAGGAGACAACAAGCACACATCGGGGTAAGCAAAACAGGTGATAATCAAGCAAACTTAGACCAGACCACACTCACACAGCATACATCCTACCTAGCCTACACGCCCTGCTACTTCTATTCTAAAGGCAGTCAGGTCGTCTCTCTTACCTCTTCTCTCGCCACAAATTTCTTCAGACGCGTTCTAGATACCCAATCCTTCCACTCAGTCCCATTTAGCTCCTCTATCTGATACGCTCCGAAGTCTCCGACCCGTACGATCCGGTAGGGACCTAACCACCTCTTATCGAGCTTCTTGGACCATTGCTTCTCTAGTGATGAATCGTAGAGAAGCACGACATCTCCAACTGCCAAGGGTACCTTCCTCACCCGCGCAGATTGATCACATCGAGCCTTATCGTCCATACGACTTCTCGTCATCTGGTCAAACGCCTCCTTGATCCTTTCTTCTATTGCTCCTATCTGCCGCGCTCGAATATCGAGCAATTCTTCAAATGACAGGTTAACTTCCAAATCCTGGCGCCTCCATGTCTTAAGAAAACTCTCGATAGGGAAGGTGGCGTACCTTCCATACCACAATGTCGACGGTGCGTGCTTGGTGGATCTTTTTATTGTAATGTTCTCAACAAAGAACGCCGCCCTTAGATATCTTGGTGATTGATTAGGCCTACCTTCGGTCTACTTAGCCAGGAGACTCGTAATGGTACTATGTCCTCTCTCTACGGGAGTTGGCTGCTACACCATACCTTGATAACAATTCTTGCACCTCCTGGCAGGTAAACTCCGATCCCCTATCCATTACGAATTCCCAGACGAAAGGGTAACGCAGGTAATATTCCTCGATGCAGCTCACTAAGACTAACCCGATCTTGGTGCGAATAGCACGCCCGTCTACGAACCCAGACAAGTTATCGCGCGCATCGAAGATATAGTTATAGCCCTGATCCCCAAGCGGCATAAAAAGCAGATCAAGATGCACTACGGCCCCTACCTCTCGCTCTAACCTTGGATGCAGCGGCTCTCCCTGCCTTAAACGAGATCTCTCCTGGCAGGGCACGCAGGATCGACAGAATTTTCCGACCATGTCCATCATTCCATCCCAGTAATACAGCTCACTTATCTTGGCATACGTGGCTTGTACCCATCGATGCCCTCCTGCAATGCCATCGTGTAGTGCTGCTACGACGTCGATCTGACGATTCCTACCGCAGACGACCCTCCTGGGATTCCCCACTTCTCTTCTCACGAAAAGGTGGCCGTCTCGCACTAAGTAGCGCTGCAGCATCCTCTGAGCCCTATCGCTTGCATCCCTTAGCCGCATTTCATATCACAGAAGAAGCCCGAGTTCTAGGTAGGTCCCGCTGTACTCCTCTGCACGAAAAACCTCATTAATCTCTCCTTCCTCGAACTCGTCGTCCTGGCTCTCGGGCACTTCGTCCACATTTCCTGTCGAGTTCAACGAGCCTGACTGGTCGAGGCCTTCTTGCAATAGCGTGTTGACGAGGAAATACATTCCTCCCATCAGGTCCTCATGCCGCTCTACCTGGCCAGGTCCTTCCTCAATCGTTCTCATGTCCTCCACCAGGCTATGCGAGCTGGCCAGCGCTAGCTCCATCATCCACTGAACATCCTTACCGCCTCAGGGATCTTCTTCCTCAAAGGGCTTAAGGACTAGCTCATTCCTCCTTTCATACCTCTTTGGCGCTTGCCAGATAGGATAGCCTACACAGCTGGGCACTCGCGGCGACCATTTGTTGATATGAAGACGAACATCTTCTTCCTGATCCAGAAATCCATCAACTGGGGTCGTATTCTCCACCGCCTCCCCTTCCTGCTTATCCCAGTTGATCCGACTCAGCCCGTCCGCCCAGTTCTTACTATCAGGAATCCGTTCCAATTTGAAATTGAACATCCAGATGTACGTTAGCCATCTGGCAATCGTCGGATCCGATGGAACGTAATTCCTTAGAGAGTAAGCCAGGGCGGTCGGATTCACTCTCAAAATAAACCTTCTGCAGAAGACATAGTTCCGAAAGATTCGCAGACAGTGGAGGACAGCAAGGGTTTCCCTCTTGAACTGAGAGTAGTTCCTCTCCGTCGTACAGAGAGTCCGGCTCTCAAGTCGCAAGGGTCTTTCCTTTCCTTCCATGTCTGCCTGAATTAGAACTCCCCCTAAGGCAGTCGGTCCCGCATCCGTTTCGACAATGAAGGGTCACGTCTCTGTTGCATCATAATCTGGCGCTCCTAACACCAACCCTCCTTCTCGAAATTCCTCCTTCATTTTTGCCACCACCTCTTCGTGTTCCTCACCCCATACCCATTCCTGATCCTGACGGACTAAACTTCCTCAGGTGTTCAGTATTAGCGTCAAAGTTCTTGACGAAGGTCCTCCAAAATCCACACGTATCAAGGAAGCTCCTGACATCAGTTATTGAGTGGAACGGAATTGGCCACTCAATAATTTTGTCCATCTTCTTCACACCCGGCCTTCGGCCCTTCTCATTGCAGATGATCCATAAGATAGTCGCTTCCCTCATGCATTGTCTGGATTTGGCCCCGCTTGCCGTGAGGTTATGCTCTTCGAGGAGGCTCAGGACCTTTTCGAGGTCCTGGATGTGTTTCCAGACAAAGCGCCTTACCCCTGGTGAGACTTCGTCGCTCTCTTTCATCGCCGGCCCCTTCACTGCCAAATCGTCAATGTATGGCTGTGTGATAAGAGGGTTGACTGACTGCATGGCCCGAATCATGGCCCGTTGGACCATTGCTACTGCGTTGGTCCACCCTTGTGGGGCCACGTTCATGTGGACTAATCCTCGAGGCGTGTGCATRGCYGTCACCGGCCTATCCGGCGGRTAGACTGGGAACTGATCGTATCCTGAGTAAAGGTCTATAAGCAAAATTATAGGCCTTCCAGCACAGGATTCCGACAGCSCGTCTGCATTCGGCAGTCCTCCAGCRTCTCGYACGGTCACTGCATTCAATCTTTACAAATCCTGCACCCACCRCARCGTCCCGTTAGGCTTAATAAAGCAGAACCACGAGGACGCATACGGTCCACTTGAATAGTCGGCGACGTGGGTACGTATCTTGCCGTCGAGATAATCCACCACCTTCCTTTCCTCGTCAGGATTGGGATATCGCGCCCCTCTCATGTTCCAAGGCTCGTGTGGCACGGTGTGGATGCGGATCATAAGTATCTTATCCACATCCAGCCTGCCACGCTCCTCGTCACTAAATGCGTAGGCGCGATGCTTCCTCTTCATTAATTCCACCATCAACGTTCGCTCC